ATTCACGAAGGAACAAGATATTTCTAAAAAGTAGGTGGCGTGACACTAGTCACGTGACCTCGCTGACGCAACAACGGTTTTGGTTTGGTTTGTTCTGAATTTCGCCTAAAGCTACACGAGGATTATCTGCGCTAGCCCTTCCTCATTTAACAGTGACAGACTACAGAGAAGACAACTAGTTATCACCACCTACCGCCAACTCTTGGGCTACTCTCTTACAAACAAATAGTGGGATTAAGCATCACATTATAACGCCCCCACGGCTGAAAGGGCGAGCATGTTTGGTGAGATGGGGATTCGAACCCGCAGACTACGACCCGCAACCTCCTGGTCATGCTAGGCCTATAATAAAGGAAAGGAAGTATATGTAGATATATACCCGACACTTGAGACCTTAAAAACTTTGGTGCATCATACGAGTCACCTTACAAAATCTTTGGGGCAAAATAGGCTAAAGATACAAAAATCTGCATAACTTGAGTGGAAAAGTTAAAACTGTATGTAAAATTGTTCTTGAGTAAAATTGGGAAAATATAGTTTTTTAGTGGGGAGTTCTCGCCCATTGTAATATAATGACCTGCCTGCTGGTTTTTCTGAAAAAGAAGAAAAACACTTGTTGCGACAGAACATTAAAGTCACAGTATTGTTACGACAGCGGAAGTCACGTGACTCTGGTAACATGTCATGAGATTCTCGAAGGATCTTGACTTTTCCTGGCAACTCTAGTCTTTTCCAGGCGCCCTTTATTTTAGTATATAAGCCCGGCAAATAATTGCAGATAGTTAGATATAGAGACAGATAATTGAGTCAAGCGAGCGGTAGTGACGGTAATATAAAGTGTGTGTTTTATTATCGAGATTGCATACGTATTGACTGTGAAAAATCTTTGTATTGCAAAGTTGTATCGAGAAAGAATAAACTAGTTTTATTTAAGAAAGGAGTTGTATCGCTGAAGATCATTGGAAAAAATTATACTGGAAATTAACAAATGAACAGAGACGTAACAGTATATAAGAAAACCGCTATTACAGTTTTGGATTCAGAGAACTAAAAAGTACCCAGAACTTAAAGAGTAAAGCAAGCACACCCCTCTACTATGCAGGATGCTAGCCCCTCCATCATTGTTACATACAATGGAAACTTGAATTTCATGGAACCTACCATGCCGATGAGATTGTCTGGCCCCAGGAGATCTGAGGTTCAGCCTGATAACCAATGCATAATGTTCTGTCATATCTATGGAATCAGTACATGGAGTTCGCAGATTGGCCACGTAGTTTAACTCTTTGCTGAAGATAAAGTCCCTAGGTATATTGGTTTTCATCAAAGTGTTCCATTATGCAATGTAAAAATACTCAAAGGAAGCTGATAATGAAGAATGGAGATCTACTGGAAAAGGTCACGAATTTGGTCTTAAATAGGGAAAATCTGAATTGAAAATTTAAAGTCAGATGAATTTCTATTGGTCAGAATGGCAGCCAGGTGTGTTGGTTGTAAAGACGGTTGTAACATCCCAGTTGCGACGATGAACTGCTATAATACGACATTTTGAGTCAGGACCCTGAAATTATACTCTGATCAATTGTTATTTGTATGGGATTCGTGTGCACTCATGTCCTATATCACCCATAGAATATTCATCCCTGACACCCATGAACTTTTCGGTCCCCCCAGACTTCATGATATCTTTGCTTGACCAATACCTAAAGATGTATTGCCTTCTCCCATTTCTGCTGGACAACACATGCATATAGCCTATATGCAACAGGAAAGGAAGTAAACTGCCAAATTGTACAAAATTGTCCTCAGTTTAGGTGATACCAGCCCATACTTTTGGCCATTATGATCCATGAACATTTACACCACCTCTCCCTGGGATCTTCTTCTACATATAGATTTAGTACTAGCTTGATTCAACTTAAAGATTGCATTTTCATGCGTTATAACTGCACATTGTACTGCATCAATGTTGAGAAAATACTTAGAAAACTATATGTTTATAAAATATTTCAATCTGCATCACTAAATATACTTTTACAATAACCAAATAAAATACTATGTATACCAAGGTTATATTTTATATGATATCTAAGCTATTGTATGTGAATTGCATTTATTCCTGATAATTTCATCCACTCATAAGTATTTCAATTCGATTTCATTGAAATATCTTACACTACTTGTACCAAAAAATACTAGGTAAAACTTTATTCTCAGAAGTAGCATACAGTATTTACAGATGAACCTGATTTTCCTTAGAGGGATGAGACAGGTCCTATTGAGCTACACAAGAGCTGAAAAGATATTTATTGCAAAGTAATTTTACATTACCTGACTTTGACTGAGTTTGAGAGAGAAAAAGATTGGACACAACGTCAAACGATAAAACATTATATTTAAATATATAACCATTCAAAAGTCATATTTATGGACCTTTGGAACTGTTGGATATCAGACTGTTTAGTGTAAGAGTTATTATTTAGTTTATTTAATGATTTAATGATCCATGTGGATCTCTTCTGATGTTCAGAGCCATGCCATTCAGTGATCTGCCAACATATCATTTATCAATCATTCCCTACCCACTTTACGATGTAGCCAATTATGAACAAGAGTGTGCACTGATGATTTTGTTCAGTCTGTGGGAATAAGCCAGTGGTATCCAAAATTATCATCTGTGAAGGAGATCCAACAATTTTTCTGCTGGATTTTACACTGTCTTGGCTGTATCTTTCTCTGTGTGGCAAATACTATATAGTATTCGTAAAATTGCTGAACATCTCGATTCGAATATGTTCAGCAGGACACCTTGGTGCTTTACAAAGTCTGGAGAATATGTTGCCTTATAGCTCTAGGGACCACTATCTGCAGCACAATCTAGGAACCACAGCTCAACAGTTGATAACAATGAAACAGCACACCTTTTTGCATTTGTAACTGACTCTACAAGTACTGTGGATTATGTGCATCCATACTACATTTATCTAACTGTAGTGACTGTAGTTGACATTTCTACATCACAAGGAGTGTCCATGCTATGTCTGGGGTCCTTCAATTGTCCTTCACAGGACTCCCAAAGTATTAATCATAGCATCCATTCATCCACTAATGGAGTGATTTACCAGAGTTTGTTAAATAATACAATAAGAACTAGAGAGATAAGAGCGTAGGCAGAGAAGAGAGGAAGAAAGACAGAAAAAAATGATAAAAAGGAGAGACTGAAAATAGAAAGAGAGAGAGAGGGAATAAAGGCGCATATTGAGGAAGAAGAGACATTAGAAATAGACAGAATAAGAGCACAAATTGAGATTGCCAAGCTCACTGAACAGAAAGAGGAAGGACCCGAGAATGACAATGGGCCAGGGTCAGCCGACCCAAGCTGCCCAAATTTGATGAACAGAGAGATGACATGAATGCTTTCCTAGAGAGCTATGAAATAACTGAAAAAACTGGGACAAAGGTGACTGGGCAATCTGTTTCAGCCCACTCCTTAGAGGAAATGGCCTACAAGTATATGCAGGTATGACGTCAGAAGATACCATGGACTCTGTCAAATTTAAAGTGGTTTTGCTGAAATTATATGAACTTACGGAAGAAGCTTTATGTCAGAAGTTCAGAGAAGTCAAACCTGACATTGGAGAAACTGTATTTCAGTTTGTGGCACACCTATGGCAATACATTAAAAGATGGACTGACATGGCCAAGTGGGAAAATAGGTTTCAGGGACTGACAGACCTACTAATTCGTGAACAGTTCATGAGCATGTGCTCAACTGACATGTCACTGTTCCAAAAGGAGAAACCACCGAAAGATGTAGAGGAGATGATCAAGCTGGCAGAGCAGTAACTGTTAAAAGAGAGGTTGAACTAATTAGGTGCCATCAAGGTGAAGTCAAAGTGACTGAAGAAGTGGAACCAAATATAGATATCAAAGCAGAACAGGAGAAAGACCTAGATTTGAAGCCAATGATTGATTTTCTAAAAGCAAGTGTTTTGCGCCCTGCTTGGGAGAAGGTGTCTAGTCTAAGCCCTGTGACAAAGCACTATTGGGCGCAATGGGACCAGTTAAAGCATGAAGATGGCATTTTTGTACGGAGATGGGAAACTACAGATGGGAATGTGACGACTTGGCAAACGGTTATACCGAGAAAGTTATTGGAAGTTATGCTGCGTCTATCCCATGATAATTCAACAGGAGGACATCTCGGAATTAA